TAGGAACAGGAAGGGGAGACACCCCCCAGCCCAGCCCAGCCGGGTGCTGGTAGTAGATGAGGAGCAGTCGCTGCCAGGGCAGAGGTTAGAGCCCCTGGTGGAGCTCACCAGGGCTTCTCCAAGGCGCTGAACCAAGGTGCAGCAGGAGGATGTCCTTATCCATGCAAAGGAGCAGCCAGAGCTGGGAGGGACAAGAGGAAAAATCACCCCCTGTGAGAGGGTGACCTGACTCAGGCTTCCTTGTGAGCTGCCCCAAAGACCTTTCCCGTGTCACTTCAGCAGCAGCCTCACAGCCTCCTTTCTGAGTGTGGCACAGTGTGCTGGAGCTGTGGAAGGGGAAGGGAAGGTGATGTGGTGCTCAGATGAGGTCATTCCCTGCCACGGTGAGGACAGCAGACCCTTCCCCACACCAGGCAGATGTCAGCGCTTTTCTGCTCCGCTTTATTTGGTAGATGCAGCTGCTGCGTAGCAGTGGTCGGGCTGGGCTCTTCGGAAAGTCAGGGCTCCTCTGCTCCTCCAGCGTCGTGCATGTCTCTGATCTGGGCACAAAGGTGTCTTAGAGGGACAGAGTTGTGAGCCTCCAAAAGCCAAGGAGTAACCATGGTCTCTCTCTCTCTCTTTTTCTCTCTCTTCTCCCCCAAGGAACTGGCCAAGTACTTTTTGGCAGAACTGCTCTCAGAGCCAAGCCAGACAGAAAATGAAGCCCTGGAGTCTGAGGACTTGTCCCGAGGGGCTGAGCAGGATGAAGTGAGACTGGAGCTGGAGCGCTCGGCTAACTCAAACCCCGCTCTGGCACCCCGGGAACGCAAAGCAGGCTGCAAGAACTTCTTCTGGAAAACTTTCACATCCTGTTAGCTTTTGAAACCCACCTCTTCTCCCCATCCATCCCTGCCGCCTTCCTAGCCCCCCGCCCTGAGCAGAACCTTCACCACAAGAGGCGAAGACTGTAAATACACAATCCACGGTTATGATGAAATTAAACAAACAAGGAAAATTTGAGTTCGATTTCCAGTTGTTTTAATAAAATTTTCTGTTCCAATTGTACATGATTTGCTTGAGTTGTGATTTCTGACTAGTTAATGACATGCACTCTGCAACTCTTTCAGATGTACTATTTTTAATTCTTTGTTGCAATAAAGTTTATGTTTCAAACAGTGATGCTGAGACTTGGTGGTCAATGAGAAAACCTAAGTCACCTCTCAGGCTGTTTGTCTCTGAAATGCTGTCCATCTCAGGGCAGCAGCAGCAAACAGCACCCACCTCCACACACACAGTATCTCTTAAAGTGATTTTTTTTTTTTTTTTTGCCATGGTCTTTCTGAGAGACTTAGAGACACAGTGGTATTTTAGATACCAAATCCGTGTAACTGTGGCTGAGTCAAATCCCCAGCACTAGTACCGCAGTCAGTCTAAAGGATTTACACCCATCACCAGAGACATCCCTATAAACTACAGCTGTACATTACAATTGATGGGGCTCATAAAAGCAGTTCACAGTACAAGTTTACCCCACACATACCCTATTCCTTCCTCAGCCACAAACACTGAAACATTTTCTTACCTGGCATGCTTTATTCCTTGCAACATCCTCGACAAGCACTGCTTCTGGGATTTCTTTGGAAAGTTTGCCTTTGTTCTTCTGCACAGGGGGAGGTTTCGTATCCCTATAAAGCTGGGATGTTAACCCCATGCCTTCAGCCCCTCTTCATGTAACAAACTGGTTACAGCTGTTTTTCT